CAAGATTATGACTCCACAGTAAAACACATATTCAAAAGTTGGCTTTCATCCTCCACTCCAATGAATATCCTTGTTGTTACATATTTTTACGTGGCTATTTATATATATTTTAAAATTGTATATATGGATGTTTTATGATGGCTTGTATTTGTAATGCCTAATAAAGGTTTGGCGAAGTAAGTACAGTGATACCTCGGGTTACATACGCTTCAGGTTACATTTGCTTCAGGTTACAGACTCCACTAACCCAGAAATAGTGCTTCAGGTTAAGAACTTTGCTTCAGGATGAGAATAGAAATCGTGCTCTGGCGGTGCAGCAGCAGCAGGAGGCCCCATTAGCTAAAGTGGTGCTTCAGGTTAAGAACAGTTTCAGGTTAAGTACGGACCTCCGGAACGAATTAAGTACTTAACCCGAGGTACGACTGTAAGGCATTCACCCACTTCCTCCATCCCAAAACAGGAGCAGGAATGGGAATAATTCTTGGTACTTTTATTATGTTAACCTTTTAAAGACGTTTTTCCCATATGAGGATTTATCAAATACTCATTTCTCATGTTTAGCTGGAAACCGTCCCAAATGCAAATGGCCTTGTTCTGCAATATAGAAGCAACTGACTACAGTTATTGTTCCAACTTTGGATTTTCATGTTCTCCTCCTGCTCTAGATTCTGCTGTATCCTCCATGTGTAATGCTTTACTACGTTTTCATTAAACAAAGATTGGCCGGGCACAGGAGGTTTTAAGAAGCTCTGGGTTTTGACTGCAGTGCTCCTTCCGCTGCCAACTACTGCAGGATTTTACAATCTTGAAATGCTGCAAGCCCAGAGGCCAAGTGCATCACCACATCAGTGTTCTGGACCGTGAAATAAAAGCCCAAACGTTATCACCCTTGACTTACAAGCCCCTGATGCACAACTGACCATCAGCACAAAAATGCAGTTTTTAAAAATGGACTATTATTAATTATCTGTCCCGACTCAAGCTATTCAACACCTGCTGCTCATTTTTGGAGCTCTCTAACTGCAGCCACAGCTGGGAGTGTCTGGCAAAAAGGAGAAGAGCAGAAAATGATCCATGAGTTCTGTGGAAATGTAGTCTCCACTCCGGATTTCTAATGCAGATTTATCCAGAAATTCCATAGGAACTGTAAGCTTTCAAAATAATCATTTCCTCTTGGAAGTTGCACAGTTCACCTTGCCCCTTGGAAAATTCGTTTTTTGTTGTTGTTGGGAACTTACAATTCAGCTGGGTTGGCCAGCTCTTTTGAAAACTACCTACTGAAAATCCAAATTTCAATCAGAAGTCTGTTTTACATAGATTTTCATGGTAGTCCACTATGGATCTACCGACCTTGACAGTAAGAGCTGTTCGACAGTGGAATTTGCTGCCAAGGAGTGTGGTGGAGTCTCCTTCTTTGGGGGTCTTTAAGCAGAGGCTTGACAACCATATGTCAGGAGTGCTCTGATGGTGTTTCCTGCTTGGCAGGGGGTTGGACTCGATGGCCCTTGTGGTCTCTTCCAACTCTATGATTCTATGATTCTATGACTTGGGACTATATTGTTCTAGGTCTTGCTAGAAAAAAACATTCACGCCCTCCATAAATGGCTTTCAAAACTCAAATGACCAAGTAAATCTTTGCACAGTAATTCTTTGGCTGAGTAAAGATTCTGAAGTATTTTCCAGGAGCCTTTTCAACACAACTGTGGTTCCATACAACTGAGAGGGTGTTCCGCTCCTAACCCCATTGCTCCCCATGACTGCACATTGCAAAGAATATTGGTAATGACGGAAAAGCTCTCTTTTGAGCAACTTGTCTGCCACTGCCAATTTAGAACCCTTGATAAGCTTCTAAGGAGCAGAGTCTGAAAACCACCAGTGTCCTACTTATTAAGTGGTCAAATTATTTGTTTTCCGCGTTAGGACAAGAGCATGCATTTAAAGTAGGAATGGTAATCTTGCAAATGAAATTTTAGTTAATATATTTGGTGCAAGAGCTGCTCTACTCCCAATCTGGTTTGCTTTAGAAATTCTGCCCGCCTTTCCAGGTCCATGGTTATGCTAGAGTTTCAAAACCCTGCACAATGTCTAGAATCATTAAATTAAGGCAGTGAAAGTCATCCTTAGGATTGATTCAGTCTCGGGGGTGGGGTGCATCCAACTTCAGCTAATTCGGCAACTAAAAAGGATGTGGGTTATCTTCCTGATCAGTGGTAAAGGTGTGAAACCAATTCTAACTATGTTCAACAATTTCTTTCGGCTATAATAGTTAGATATGCCAGTTTAATTCTAGAGGCAGACTGCATCAAGCTTGGTTGTGTAAAAGGGTGGCTGAACATAACTTGCAGAAATCAAGATTTTCGTGCTCTGCACATCATCAAAATACTTGACTAGTTAGAAGAACTGGCCTTAGATGTGGGCCTGTTCTAAAAAGTAATAATAGCAGAGTCACCCTTCTTAGAATGCTTTTCGTTGCATTGATTTAGATTTCCTTTATTATACCAAACTATATTTCTTTCCCTTTCTGCGTTTGTTTCCTTCTCCTTTTTTAGCGCTACCTTATACAAGATGCTTTGTCATCCTTTAATATCTCGATCGTTCTTGACAACTTTATCTGCTAATACAATCCTGGATAAAGCAACGAGTTGTTCTAGCATTCATATTTTATGTTTCCAGGCCATTTTACTGTAGGGAATAGGGGATTTCCCTTTGTAATTTAATGCACCAATTAAAATATCAAACTATTAACTTGTTCTTGTAAGTTACAAAATAAATGGGAACGCGGAGTATTTAGGTAACAACTACCCAATAAATAGTAACATATATGGAATCCTTTCCTAAGGTATTTTTGGGGCAAACTGCTTATACATAAATGAAGACAGATTTTCTTCTTGTGAATGTGACAAATTGATTGCAACACGAAAACCATTAGGAGTTTACCCATGGCATCTGCATATTAATAATTTTAATCCTAGGCACCATATTCCATATAAAAATGAGCAATCATGACATATCTCCTTAAAAAAGATCAGAATCTGCATTTTAAGTGTAATTTAAAAAAATAATAATCTTGGAGCAAGAATTTCTAAGAAGCAGCTTGATACTGTTGTGTTATGCATTTATTACTCTGCCATATGTATTTTTTTTAAAAAAGCAGTTCTTGAAACTTGCTTTTAAAATGAAGCTGTATATAACTGCAAAAGCATCAGATCAGATGCTTCTGTGGAGATACTGGCTATGTTTAATCAATAATAACCCAACCTAATATAACAACCGTCTACATTTTATAAAATAAAACAAGTGCTAGGGCAAAGTCTGAATTTTAAATCACTGCATGAAGATTACTTTCTCTGTTAGAACATAAATAAACAAAAGCGCATTATTTGATATAGGAAGCTGCTAATGTGCAAAAAGGTAGTAGATAAATCCAGTTTATCTAATAAATAACAAAGCTTGTTAACACACAAAAAGTATAAAATACGTATTGATCAGAATATTTTATAGAGAGCAGTATTTTTAAAGCAGCTATGCCGACTGTGTTGCTAATATTAGCCTTGTGCACTGTTAGCGGTGTAACAGTGCAGATACACCACTTAATCAGATTAGAATTAGACAAGCTCTCTCTTGTCAGCTGGAGGAGTTCCTCAACTGTTATTTACTGAACAGCCTGAAAGTATGCCATGCTAGGAGATCCTTCCAAACTGCTGCGAATTATTTGTTTAAATCAGCGTGGTTCTTTCTGTTCCTTCGCTTTGCGAATGGGCTGAACTCGATAATATCACGGAACACAGGCCCTGCTGAGTATAAAGTGCATGAATCATATCATAAGCGATGGTGCAGCCGAGTCGCTCAGCTTCAATACCGCCATCACCAAATTTCATGCGCTTCATTGCAAAAAACAGAAGGGGACGGTGGCACACAACAACAAACCCCTCCACCCGATTCATCATGCTTCATTTTTTAAAACTAACCAAACGGGGATCTGCTTGCAGTTTTCTCCATCTGGGCAGGAAAGCGAATGTCTTTCTGGCAAAAGTATCTCCCAAAACCATATTTTCAAAGCCCGGTTCCTGCCTTGCTCCCTAACCAAAGGGGCAGCGCCAGCCCCATACTGCTTTTTTACAGCATGCCATCTCTTACAAAGAGTTACGAGTAGGGGTTGGGGGGGGGGGAATGGTACCCCTTTCCATTCTTCCATCCATGCGGTGTCAACATCTCATCTTTGCTGCAGGGTTAGGAGCAGCGGAGCATCCCAGCAGAGACGGAGGCCAGCCCAGCCAGCGGGGCTTTGGGGGCGCAGGCTGCCATCGCGGCCCTTTCAAGCCAGCGCCGTCCACAACAAACAGCGGGGCAGAAGCCCGCCGGCGGCACGCGGGTCCACGCGTGCACACGCACACGCGGGGCCGCCCGCCCACTCCAGAAGGCCACCACAGGCCTTGAACCACCCTTCCCCGTCCGCCAGACCGTAATAACAGGGACACGGCGTCCCCGCTCAACTTCCTTCCTTCCTTCCTCCTCTGCGCCGCGCCTGGCAACCTCTGCGCGCGCGGAGAAGGAGCCTGGCCGGGCAAGGCGGCGGCGGCGGCGGCGGCGGGTGGGCCTTGTTCTCCCTCTCCAGCCGCGGCCCCGACCCCCTCGCCCGCCCTGGGGGAAGCCAGGGCCGCCCGCCCGCCCGCCCCTCCTCGCCGCCTCCCCCTCTTACCGCGCAGACCAGACCCGCGCGCGCGCGCTGGAGCCTCTCCAAGTCCCCCCTTTTGCGCGCCGGCGCGCGCCCGGCGGAGAGGCGCAGGGGGGCCGGGCTCGCGCCTCCGAAAGGCGCCCCGAGACGCACAATGCCGCGCAGCACAAAGCCCGGCGGGCGGCGGAGGCGCGCGCGCGCGGCGGCGAGGGGGGGGGAAGGGAAGGGAGCCTCGCCGGCCTCTCCAAGCGCCCGCCCGCCGGCCGCGCCACGACCCAGGCAGGCCGGGCAAGGCAAGGCAGGGCCTGGCCGGGCGGGTCCTTACCGAGCGGCAAGCCCTTGTTGAGGAGGTGGGAGCTGCCCATTGAACCGCGCTGTCAGGGGCACGGCTCCTCCGGCGGCGGCGGCGTCTGGGGCGCAGTGCGGCGCATATGGCGGCGCCGTCGCTCTCCCCGCTCGCCAAGCGGCCCAGACGCTTCGCCAAGAACGGAGGCCGGGAGGAGGCGGCGGCGCGGGAGGAGCTCCAGGCAGGCGTTGGTCTTCTGGTTCCTGCCTCGCCAAAGTCCCCGGAAAGCAGGAGGGGCGGGAGGGAGCGCGCGGAAGGGAGCGCGCGGCGGGGAGGCGCTCTTCCAACCCAAGCATCCCGTTTGCAAGCGCAAGGGGCTCGCCGCGGGTGCAGTCACACATATACTTCTCCTACCAAGGCAGTTCAGCGTCTTAAAAAGCAGAGACATCACCTTGCCAACAAAGGTCCGTATAGTTAAAGCTATGGTTTTCCCAGTAGTGATGTATGGAAGTGAGAGCTGGACCATCAAGAAGGCTGATCGCCGAAGAATGGATGCTTTTGAATTCTGGCGCTGGAGGAGACTCTTGAGAGTCCCATGGACTGCAAGAAGATCAAACGCATCCATTCTTAAGGAAATCAGCCCTGAGTGCTCACTGGAAGGACAGATCCTGAAGCTGAGACTCCAATACTTTGGCCACCTCATGAGAAGAGAAGACTCCCTGGAAAAGACCCTGATGTTGGGAAAGATGGAGGGCACAAGGAGAAGGGGACATGGTTGGACAGTGTTCTTGAAGCTACCAGCATGAGTTTGACCAAACTGCAGGGTGGGCAAGTCTTTCCTACCCCTGATAATTTTCAGAATTAATTGGAATTGGCAGGCAAGTCCTTCATATTAGGGAACAGGGAATATTGCTGCTGTAGGACCGCCTTTACTTTCAGCAGGACTTGAGTCAACAGCCGAGTTAGTGCCCTTGAATAATCACACACACACAGTCTCCCACTGTAAATTGTAGTTGGCAGAATTGGCAAGTGGGTGCATCTGACACTGCAACTGCTGAGGGGGCAAATCAGCTTGTTGCATTTCCCCCTAAAAACAGGGCATACTTGGGCCTTTCTCTGCCTACTCCTCTGTGTTTTTCCCCCCCTAGCCCTTGAAATCAGTGCAATCGTATGAATGCACCAAATACAAAAAGCCAAATACAGTGGTACCTCGGGTAAGGAATTTAATTTGTCTGTTCTTAACCTGAAACTGTTCTTAACCTGAAGCACCACTTTAGCTAATGGGGCCTCCTGCTGCTGCCGCGCCACCAGAGCCCGATTTCTGTTCTCATACTGAAGCAAAGTTCTTAACCTGAAGCACTATTTCTGGGTTAGCGGAGTGTGTAACCTGAAGCGTATGTAACCCGAGGTACCACTGTACTGGACATTGCCACAAAGTTGGCATCTGGTAACAGAAATTTCTAAAAGAGAAGCAAACTCCTTTCCACATTCCTAAGGAAGCACTTATAGGTCATTTAAGGGAAAGAGATAAATTTTAGAAACATAAAAAGTGCTTTGGCAGGGGAGGGGGTACAAGGTCTACACATAAAAATGTATCAGTCTTACCAGCTCCAAATTAAAAAGATGGGAGGAGAGCCCTTTGCTCAAACCACCCTACTAGATTTTAATTATATTTTCTGCTAAAAGCGCAGTCATTTCTTTTCATTTATTAGTATTATTATTATTATTAAGGCAACTACAATGTTCTAAGTAAGAGATTACTTTTGTTCTAGGACAACTAGTAAGAGGACTACAAGACAACTCTAATCAGGAGACCTTTTGTGTTCCCTAGGCCTAGAGCATCAGTTATGTATGTAAAAAGTACATAAATATATATATATTGAAAAAGCAAAACTGCCTCCAATTAGATTGTATGGGCTTTATGAGAAAGGCTGAGGAGGTGGATGTCAAACAAAATATTCAGTTCAGCTCCGCTGCCTGGCTGGGTCAGCTGACGCATAATGCAGTACACACTATACTATAGAAGAATACAATTAACTCTCAGAATGGCTGTGCACTTCAAGGCCTAATAATTTACCTGACTGGAGATGTAGCCATTGATTTCTGATCTGATGCCTTCCTACTGTTTTCAGGAAGCTTCTCACATTGGTTGCACGAGTATCGGAGCAGGATCAGTCAATTCAACAGCTTTAAAATACCTTTGTATTGCTTTCAGTTTCAATAAGGAGACAGCAATAAAGGAAATCAAAACATGTAATTTTTTTTGCTATTCATCAATAAAACCTGACTCTGTACACACCCACACACTCACACCCACCCAAGTGCCTCTTATTTGCTGTTTGTATTATGCAAAACAAAGGCTTGATAAAGCAGTTTTTGTTAGATACCCAGAAAGAGGCAGTTTTTTGTTTTTTTAATTATGTCAATAAATTTGTGTTCGGGCGGAAAGAGTTCCAGCAATATCAATCACCAGATTTCACAAGACACTCCAGAACACATAGTATTACAATTTTTGGGAATAATAATGAATAGGGGATCATCTAATTATTATTTATTATTATTTTTTTAATTGACTAAGGGATTCAGGTCTCCTTTGATCTACCACTAGTCAGGCCATTGCAAATAGGAATAGATTATACTTCCTATTATGGAAGCAGCCTTTAGTTTAAAGGTTTGTTCATCACTACTATAGGAAGGAAACAATTCTGCATTAAGTTACACTGTTGCAAATTAATGATCCACATTGAGTTAAACATTATTAAGGTGCAATCCTATACAGCATAACTTGCAGACCAAGTTTATACATGTCTACTCAGGAGTAAGTTCCATTGAGTTCAGGGCATTTGTTCCCAGAAAATTGTGTATGATTACAGTGATGTAAATTAGAGTTACAAGGGCTTAAACCAGGGGCCAGCAAACTTTTTCAGCAGGGGGCCAGTCCACTGTCCCTCAGACCTTGTAGGGGCCAGACTATATTTTTTTTGGGGGGGGGGATGAACGAATTCCTATGCCCCACAAATAACCCAGAGATGCATTTTAAACAAAAGGACACATTCTACTTATGTAAAAACATGCTAATTCCTGGACCGTCTGTGGGCCGGATTTAGAAGGTGGGCCGGATTTGGCCCCCGGGCCTTAGTTTGCCTACCCATGGCTTAAAATGTGGCAGGTTCGCTCCCTGAATGGCTATTTTCATTCTGCCACTCATGTTTTGATAACCAGAAAGCTAGCTATAACCTAGATGCAGCGCCATAAAGTCAATGCTCCATATATCCCCAAACCTTTTATTTGCCTGTCACCAGATGTATTACTCATGATTCTTCATTAGAGCCATTTTGGAGCCTTCTAATGTGTCATTTATCTCAGTGTTCAGTCATCATAAAGTTGCAGACATTTTGAATATGCAGTAGGCATTGCCCATAAAGGTATGAAAAAGGGGGAATAAAATCCTCTTATTTGAAAGGGGAAATGGTATTATTTATGTTTCCGAGCACAATTCAAAGTGTTGGTGCTGACCTTGAAAGCCCTAAACGGCCTCGGTCCAGTATTCCTGAAGGAGCGTCTCCACCCCCATCGTTCAGCCTGGACACTGAGATCCAGCGCCGAGGGCCTTCTGGTGGTTCCCTCGCTGCGAGAAGCCAAGTTACAGGGAACCAGGCAGAGGGCCTTCTCGGTGGTGGCACCTGCCCTGTGGAACGCCCTCCCACCAGATGTCAAAGAGAAGAACAACTACCAGGCTTTTAGAAGACATCTGAAGGCAGCCCTCTTTAGGGAAGCTTTTAATGTTTAACAGACTACTGTTGTTTTTAGATATCTGATTTTTAGATATTTTAGCGTTTGTGTGTTTGCTGCCCTGGGCTACCTGCCTTGCCCCACCCTCCGGCCCTAGGAGTCCTCATACGGGAGCTGGTCCTGGAGGAAGAACTGTGAGGGGAGAGACTTTGTCAGGCAAGGCCTCCTTCCACCTGCCTTGCTCCACCCTCTAGTCTTTGCTTCTCTCTTTTTTAAAAAGATTTTTTTCTTGGTTTTTACACATATTTTCCAACATATCATTCTTTTAAACCTAGTTTCAAAATCTTTGGCTATCACAGCCTAAGACTTCCTTCAACCTCAGCTGACGGTTTTCTAAAATCTTTTCTAATTATGCATTTTGTTACTATAGTTATTGCTATAAATTCAAATCTTAATACCTATTCTTAATTCTTTTCACAATAATATATATATATTACTCCTTACAAAACGTCTTTTAACCCTACAAGTGATGTCAATTGGTTACAGTTGCTTTCCAAATATATTGTAAACTTCTTCCATTCCTTTAGGAAAGTCTGGTCCTGCTGGTTCCAAATTTTCCCGGTTAATCTCGCCATCACATAGTTCATCAATTTCTCTTGCCACCCTTCTTTAGTTGGCATTTCTTCTTGCTTCCAGCTTTGGGCTAAAAATATTCTTGCTGCAGTTATCGCATATAATTTTTTTTTAATCATTCATATGAATTTCTGTACCCACTCTAGTCTCTGCTTCTCAATTTGTATTGTATTATTTTATGTACTGTGGCTTGCCGTTGTTTTATTGATTATAGTTTAGAAATTATTTATAGTAACTGTTGAGTGGATTTCTGTTTAACTTTTATATGTTGATATTATTGTTATTTTATACTATCCTAATGATTGTTGAATGCTACTTTTTTGATGTAGGTTGCTTATTTTAAAGTTATGTTTTATTATCACATGTGCTATTGCATTAGATTGTTATAAGATGTACATTTTTTGTTTGTTCAGCTTGTAAACCGCCTTGAGTATTATAAGACAGAAAGACGGTAAACAACTTTTAATATATATACTCAACAAATTATTCAGATTAATTATTTTTGGGTTTTCTTCCTTCAGATTCCTTTGTGCATGAACTGATTTTTTAAAAACCCACACAAAACTCAATTCAGCGGGAAGGTTTGCACAAGAGACCCTTTCAACAAATTGTGGCCAATTAGGAATTTTGCAGCTGACTGGAATGTAAACAGTATTCTGTTAAATTGAATAGCATAATGAGTCGGTGAATCTTCGGGCACGTCAAGAGTAAAATGATTCTATGATGGTGAATGATGAAATATATAAGATCCCGGCGAGTGACTTAATGAAGAACCTACAACATTGCCTCATAAACTTCTCAACAAACCCAGTTTCAGATTTTCTACAAATCAGCACGCTTCTCAGACCTTATCTAGGTAAAGGTAAAGGGACCCCTGAACGTTAGGTCCAGTCGCAGACAACTCTGGAGTTGCTGCTCTCC